TTTGTGTCTGGGGCCTCGCGCCTGGGCTCCGCCCGGGCCCCGGCGCTCGGAGGCAAAGGCCCCCAGGAAACTGGGGAGGGCTCGTCCGGGGGCGGCCGGGCAGGGAGCCCCCACCCCAGACGAGACCACCGGGCTGCAGAAAACAGCTGAGATCTGGTGGAGAGGGACGGAGCAGAGGCTTCTTCACTTTTCTTTTCCCTCCTTTCTTTTTGTGTTTGAGACCAAAGAAAGGAGGGCCGGCGTGGGCCTGCTCAAGAAAACTTAGAGTACTTTCCGGTAGGGCAAAGCGCGGGGCGGAGAGGCCTGGGCCCGCCCCGGTGAGGTCCACTCCCGCGCGCCCTCGCCCGGAGAGCCCGTGCCTCCGCCAGCCCAGCCCCACCCTGGGCCATCTGCACGGCCCCGGCCCCCGGCCGGACCTCCTCCCACCCAGCTGTCCCCCTGGTGGGGACGGGGACCAGTCGTAGAACAAACCTGGGAGGAAGGCCTGGTGAGCAGGCCGCAGCTCCTCCGTTCTCCACCCACCCCGCGGCACTGGGACAGGCTCTGGGGCCCGAGGACCCGAGGCGCCCGGGTCAGGCCAGGACACAGCTCGCAAGGCTCACCACGGCCTGGCAGGCCTCTCCGACGTGAGGAGACCTTGGTTCTTGCTCTTCCCTAGCCGTGGTCTTGGACGCCAGCATCCACCTCCCCGCTGACACCTCCACGTGGGCCTCGCAGCAGGCTGCCCACCTCCTGCCCCCTGGCCTCGCCAAGCGGGCCTCCCTCTGCCCTCCCCAGTCCCCCCAGGATTCTGACTCTGTGCCGGCACTCCTATACCCTCAGAAATGCCCATTTGGGTTTTCCTCCAAGTTTGTGAAAAGTGCCATAAAAATGCATTTTAGACGGTGGACAGACAAGTCTGGGGGTCACAAGGGGGTTGGGTGGTGAGACCAGGGCAGACAGGGAGGGGGGGGAGGAAAGGGGAAGGAGGGCCTGGCCCTGCGCCCTGGAGGAGTGTTTTGAGGGAGGCAAAGGAAAGAAAGGAGAGGGAACCATAAGGCCCCCCCCACACACACACAGCCAATTCTTTTCCTCTTTCAAACTGGCCCTGATTTCCTGGGAAACTAAAGGGCCTTCAAACAAAGAAAATGAGGTGACCAGCCTGGTAGTCCCTCAGTTTGGGGAGAGTGTAAGGAGGGGCTTGGGGTGTCTGCAGCAGATTTGTGGGGGCTGCGGCCGGCCCTGCGCAGCACTGGGCATCCGGGTGGTTTCGAAGGTTTGTCTGAACGTCGGCGCTCCCTCCCCCTCCAAAACTGGGGAAACAGCAACCACCCCCTCCAGGCACCTGTGCGTCCTTCTGCAAAAATGCCCCAATTTGTATTCTCCCGCTGTTCCGGAGCTTCCTGGCTGTTTTCTGAGGAAGCCCCGGCAGGGACGGGAGGGGGACGCCGAGGGTGTTGCACGCACCTCCTGCCCACGCACACGCACACGCACACGCACTCGCACTCACAGCGGGTGCCGGCAGCAGGGGAGCCCTGCCCGCTGCGCCCCGCGGTTATCACAGGATGCCGCCGGGGCGACCAAAGTCAAATGTAAGTGACAGCGCTCCTCCCCGGCAGCGAGGGCCGGGGACCGCAGAGTCCCTTTGTATCTCGGCCTCTCATTTAACACTGTTTATGCATTTTTGTGCAAGGAATTGTGGGATTCGTCCCCGCGATAAACAGCGTGGAAATGTTAAAAACGGCCATCTCGCGGCGCGTGTCCTCGGAGGCGCGCAGGGCAGATCCGGCCAGGCCGCCCAGGGCTCCCGGGAGAGGCGAGGAACGCGCGAGCGGGCGCCGCGGACGCGGTCACGGGCC